GTTTGCTGCTGATGCTGATTCTGCTGCTGCTGATTCTAAGGGAAGAAGTGACATGACAAGGTCACTCAATATGTACTAGGTTTGTGAGCTTTGTGGAGTCACTGACCCCGGTGTCACCGAGAAGGAGACAGACCCGTCTGCTTGGGGCAAAGCACAGCAAGGCTGAGTGTTGGGAGAAGTTTGTCCTCAGTTCACTCTTGCACACCCTGTGGGGGCATCCCTTTTGTGGGTGTTTTGTTTTTTAACAAAGCAAGCTGGACTAAAACTGGAAGGACAGTCTAGTGCCTCCTACAGCTAGCCAAGTGCTCAGAAGGGACAACTTATAAAAGCAGTAATTGTCTAATGAACTAAATTGAAATCCCCAAAATTTCACTAGTGCTCAGTGGCAGACATGGTGAACCACAGTAAAGTATTCTAAGTGCTTCAACAGCTTCGTTCACTCCGACAAAACCAACTTTAAAACTTCCACGTGATAGTAACCCAAAAGGGAATTGGCAGCATTACTGACAGAAAGGTAAGCAAACTGAGACCAGAGAAATTTCTTCCAGGTTGTGAGGAAATTCTGTGGCAAAACTAGAAACAGGTTTCACTACCGTTTTGCTCTCCTGGGCTTTTAAGTACCTTGCAAAGACTGCTACGCTGGGAATAGGGGCCAGCATGGTGTGCAAGGTACAGGGTCAGAAATTCTTATTGAAATAGCAGAAAAGTGACCAGAGACAAATAGTTAAATACAAAAGAGGAGGAAATTGCTAAAAGAAGAATCTGGCACAGGAAGGAGAAGACTAGCAGAAGAAGAAAAGCCAGATAATTAAGATGACACTGGGACCTTGCAGGAAGAGAGATAGAGAAAAGTGCCATGAAAGGGAGAGAAAGGTTAAAAAGAAGAACACAGGAGCAAAAGATATTGTACTGTTCTGGCTTCAGAGGGCTACAAAGAATATTAGCAAAGTGGAGGGAAGGCCAGAAAACCAGCAGAGTGCAGCTCTGCCCTCTGTGGTGAGACAGGTCTGGGAAAGAACACCCATTTGTCTACTTTTGAGCACCAGGGATGGCTCCTCCATCAGAGCACTAAAACACATAAGACAGTTGCAAAGAAAAGCAATTTCATTCCAAATGTGAGGTATGTCACTTGCTCATCATGGAAAAAAACTACAGCTGACATGGCTTGAATTAAAAAGCCTTACTACCTTTCCCTCCAGTAAACTCTAAAGAACATTCCAGGATAGTAGTTTTTTTCCTAGAATATCTACTTATATAATGATCAAAGCTTTAATATGGCAGGCTTTTATAAAAACCTCACTTTATTAGCTCCTCAGAAATCATGACAACCAGTTGCCAAGAGCAGAAAATTCTTGATGTCCCCAGTCACCATGAGGCATTTAGTTACCTCAGACAAATAACATAAAATATCTGTATCTCTGCCATTCATCACAAAGGTCTCCCAAGATACATTCAGGGGAAATTCGCAATGATGTGTTCATTTAAGATTGCAAAAAAGCCTTGCATCTTCAAGGACTTAGAGGTGGACTGCAATTCCATTTCACACTTAGCAAAACCAATAATGTATCCTCCTGCTTGTAGTCCTCAGATCCCATCACAGTCAGATTGCTTCCCAGGAGATTTAAACTTCAGTAATTTAAAAAGTAAATCAAATTAGCTTGTAAGAAAAAAATTATTAAGAAGCAATTTTTCTCTTCATAATAGCTTGAGCTTCACTTATACAAATAAACACCAATAACTAAGGCAGTATTTGTGGTAGAATTCCAAATGTCCTTGGGTCAGTCTGGTCCATGGTGGTTCCTAAATGAACTTGTAACAGGGCTACAGTTCACAACATATTGCCACATGTCACCTCTCAGGCACAATTACCAAAATGAAATCTCAGTCCCACCTAGAAACAAACCCAGCAGAAACTTGTCTAGCAGAATTTGAATGAGAACAGAATCTTTTCACTTTGCTTTGCAAACCCTCATTTTGGCTTTGCTGACTAACGATTAAGCATTTCAAAGAACGGCTGCTTATGCCAAATGTTATTCAATTCAGATGCAAGTTCCAAATAAACAGAGAACTTCTCCAGGTTTCCAAAGGACTATACATATATTTATGGCTTTAAAAACAAACCAGTAATAAAAAAACCCCAAACCCAAACAACCCTTTCATTTGCAATAACATCATATAGCAACAAAACATGGCAGAGATTCAACTTTCAGAATGTCATTTACCTGCAAATTTTCTACACTGTGGGAACACAGTCAATGAGTAATGGTGACTTATATTACCTAAATGGTCTGAAAGAAGTTTAATTTGGAGTGTGCATAAGTATGTGACTGTCCTCAACAATCTCAAAGACCATTTATATATTGGCTGTTTTGAATATAAACATGCCATTGTCACCATCCTCCCAACACTCCCAGGAAAAACAGATACTTACTTTTAAGTATACTGACTCAAAAGTAAAAAACCCAGAGTAACTTTAATTCATAAGATTTCTTCTTGTTTTTGAAGCTGTGAGAGTGGAAGCAAAACTAGTAACTAAATTACAATCAAATCCGTATCATGACTTTAATTTTCTTTTTGCTCAGGGGTCTGTTTCCTCTCTTTGAAAAAACTATCTGGACACAAAAATACTGGATGCTACCACTTGTTCTCAGTACAGAAGAATCTACAATATCAGTTCTGATAACAAAATCAGCTCCCTGAAATGTAGTTTTAAACTCAAATAGTTTGCCATGTTAGGCAGAAAAAACCCCCAGAAGATGCAGTCAAAGGGTTTCTCCAAAAGATTAACAGTCCTTCTCACACAGTCCTCAGATAATTACAGTTGAAGACTGTTCTGTTCACATCTTGTTAGCTATACATTACAGTTGGTGTCTCACTGCACACTGTTCAGTGCAAATAACATGCTGTTTCCTACACTATAGCACCATTGTCCATCCTTCACAGCACAATGGGACCATCACTGTGTCACGTAGCACAGCTGAGCTATATGCACAAAGCAGATCAGATTATGTTGCAAACACACCAAAAAATACTATGCACACAAACAAGTTCTTGCCCATGTCTATGGGGCTATGAGAAAAGAGAATATTCAGAGCAGATTGTCGCTACCAGAACAGTTCACAGTCCTTATTACTCCTTTGTCTGAGAGCCCTTAAAACATGATCAGGAAACTGTGCAGATGGATTAAATGTTCTGATGTAGTGCCAGAAGCAGGCTGCCACGATTTATTTGAGACCCCGACAGCCAACTACTTTCAAATGGCTGGATGTATGCCAGTCATACAATGAAAATACCATTCTTTTCATGTGCTCACAATGTATTTTCATCATGCAATGCTGGAGGAGGTAGCAAGGTCTCTTGGAATGATAGCAGCTGAAAGCAGCCTGCTGCTGACACAATAACCCGTCCAGCTCATTCCCCACAGGTCAGGGAAAACTGCACTGGTGACACCACCTGAGACGCCCCAAGGTCATCTGACACTTTTCATCTGTTTGGGAAACAGTTTTAAGTGAGCCTTGCAAACACAATTTTGGTTAGATCTTCATGTTTCATTAGGCAGCACCATGATGCTTTCTTATTGCATACTTAAAAGTAAAAAAAACCAAAAGAGTTTATTATACCTTATCCCCTTTCTCTTCAGGTTCATCTTCATTGAGGAATTCTCTTTTAGGATATGGAATCTGACAGCCAGCAAACACACTGAAACACAGGAAGCAGTAAACACTCCATAAATACGTACATATGGCATACATGTACCTAACACTATGCTAAAAACAAGTGCATATAACACAACTCAATTCGTTGCATTTCATGACTCCTGTTTCCACAAGCGAGTGGCAGTGTGAGCACCCAAGATAGGTGCTGATTGTAATGTCAGATCTCTTTTCTGTTGGCATGAGGCTGTCGTTTAGAAATCGTGGCATGGTTGAACATGCCGGAATGCCAGAACGACCACTTGTTGATCCAGATGGTAAAATGAACACAGTGTCAGAGGTTTCACAACACCTAGCTGGAACATGCATGGCTCACTGAATAAGAGTATTAGTGTCTTATGAGCTGCCTTGGCTTACAGCAGGCTTAAGTCTATTTGCCAATCACAACTGCAGAGTTCTTTTCAATTAGTTTCTCAGGTCTTGTTTAGGGAAAAACAGATAGCTTTTAAATTCAGATGGCTAATAGGATTTGGAACATGCCTTAATGTTTATGGCAGAGACTTAATCATAATGTTGTCCTGTAATCCATGGGGAGCTGTAGCTCCAGAGAGGATAGTATCAGATAAATACTAAACAGAAAATTACTAGTAGATCTTGACCAATATCAATTTCTTAGATTTCTGTGCCAACATTCAGAATACAATCAACAAGACATGATTTTTAAAAGGGGTAAACAGTTTCTAATCTAGCTGCTATGCAGTGTTTGTTTTTCAAACGGAAAAAGAAATAAAAAAACCCCAACTAGCCTCAGCTAGACTCCAGTGAGTCTTTGCACTCCAGTGACTGTTCCCTCCTTTTAGTGTTGTCTGCTGAGGTAACAGCAAAAGCCAAGGCAGAAGTCTCCCTGCATCCAGGTCCTACAGATCATAATGCCATGCATCACCATGCTTCTGAAAACTGGCAAGAGAAACTGGAAGAGGAAAGTCTGCCAGTAGGAATTGAATATATAATTTGTACTTTTCCATGACAATAAAATATAAATTCTGTACTCTCAAGCCTTCTGAACAAGGGATTTGTGGGATTTTAGGCAGCTGTTTCTCTCTTCACTTTTCTCTTCTCATACTGTTACCCTGGGCAAGAGGGCATGGGAAGGGCCCGCAGGTCAGAGAACTGTCCTAGTCCTAGGGAGAGCCCCAACCAAAGCAAGCAATGGAGAACAGGGCTCTGTGAAGCTGGGGAAGGCAGAAGAAGGTACAGATTAATTCTCTAAATACTACAATAATATTGTCACTCTAGCTTTAGTAGTATGTTCAGAATTACAACACTAGTGCAGCACCGGGTTATTTTTCATGACCACTCAGTTCTGGCACCAGTAGATACAGACACTTCAGTACTACACTCACAGTTTATACTGAGCATGCCTGAGCTACTACTTCTTGTGGACACAGGCAGATACTCAATTTTTTCAACTGTCATGTCATTTCAGAGATTAGCAGAAAGAAGACACCCCTGATATGCACAAAAGAGGGAATACATACTCTGATGTAGGCAGAGGATCCTCTTGAAAGTAGGGGTCCTGCAAAGCCTGCTCTGAGGTAATTCTCTTGGTAGGGTCCATAGTGAGAAGCTTCTGAAGCTGCAAAGCACAACATGAAAAACAGCAAAAAGCTTATCAAACTATCATTTTTCAAAGCATGACTTGTATGTCTTGGATTGAAGCTTGTTATATTATTTGTGGCAAAATTAGGTTAGCACTGCTTGCTCAGTGAAGTTCCCAAGAACTACAATGCACATCCATCAAAACACTATGGCTGTGACATACTTCTCATGTAAGAAATAGTTAAATGTATTAGGCTGAACCACAGTGCTAAAGTAACACTAAACTCATCTATTACAGGCTCATAAAGCATCATTTCTAAATAATGGCTTTTTGTTGTGGCACATGCATAGCTTTTATACTGTTCTGTACAAGAGGAAGAGAGTCAGAACAGACTGAACATGGCCAGGCCTCTTCACATCACTTTAGGGATGGAAACTGTAAGTCTTCATTTCTTGCACTGGCAACATTCCTGAGTCAGAGCACCCTGCTATTCATGCAGCTCCCCAACCCACTCTAATTGGTACCAAAATGAGAAAGAGGAAGAGCAGACCCTTCCCAGTAACCTTTCTTCCTTGCTAGGAGGAAAACAATCAAATTTACTAGCTAGAAGGTTTTTCACTGCAGCACGCTATAAAAGAGGATTACAATATATTAGCAGCATAAAACAGGAATTATAGGGATAACACACCATTTTAAATAGTTACTTATCACATTCTGATAAACTCACAGTAGGAAATTTGGGTGCTCAAATTACATTATACAGTACCCTGCTCTCACACAATACTCTTAATTCAAGCCAACAGTGAAAATAAAATTCCTTCTGCATAGGGCGCCTTAGTTCAAACTCTATCTTTGAGGGCTCCAAAAAAACCTACCTGGATATTCAGCAAAACAATGTGATTTTGGCAAGGGTATTTGGGGCTTTCTGTTCTGATAAATTAAAAACCTGATATACAATTCTATATTCTATATATACACTACAGTAAACAGCCTCAGTAAAAGTACTCACCCTCCTCAAGAAAGGAGATACAGGGAATCATCTTTCTCAATAGTTGTAGTTAACCTTACTTGGTAGATAAGGTCTCAAAATTCTCTGTCCTTTTGCCACTTCCTTCCTATCTCTATTTATTCACATACTTGATGGCCCACAGACCTCAAGAGACTGACACCATAACAAAGAGCCATTTGGGCTGTCTCTCCACCTATCAGGTCATTTGCAACCAGCTCCTGAACTGGTTTCTGCTGCTTGCCTAGAGATACACCTCGAGATAGTCCTGCACTGCACACAGAGTTTGCATGGCACACTTATTTACTGTATTTTTGTGTGGTCAGATAACTCTTACCCCTATGTTTCCTGTGCATCTTAACAAATCCAACTTCTAATGTGCTATTTGCTTTCTACACAGTGACCTCATATGATACAATAAATACAGACAACAGTTTGGGTACTCAGTACCTGTACTTCAAATCACCACCTCTCCCTACATGCAATTTTTTTGTCAGTTCTAGCAGCTTCTGACACCATTACAACTTATGCAAATTTATTCTCCCCAGTTCCTCCACAGTGATTACAGGGACAAACATGTATTTGGTAACAGAGGTTGCCATTGACAGAGGAGTACAGAGCATCAGCCTTTGCCCCCCAGACTCCCTCCTCAGAACTGGTTGCTGCAGTACCACTTAGGAGAGAGCTCCACCAGTTCTCTGACATTCTAACACTGTCATCACAAGCTGCCTCCAAACATGATCTGAATTCTTTGTTACTCAAAGATAAGGCTAACGTACCACAAGACCTGAAGTTACCTTGGACCTTTTAATGATCTGCTTATTCCCTTAGTATTCCCCTTTCAACCCTGAGGATACAATCTGCCCGTTCCAAGTGAGATAACCTGCTTATCAGTGATGCTACTGGGAACCAACTTTCTTTCAGAAATTTGGTTATCTGTAGCTTCTGTTACCTCTGGGAAAATGAATAAAAGAATGTCAGGAGACAATTTACTTTCAGGGCAGCAGAGATACTAGACTATCAAAAGTCATACTTCTCAGTAAGCCTCAAGATTGTTCACTCGCAGGCTGCACTGGCCTGACACGACAGCTATAAATACTATGCCTGTAACTTTTCCAGAACAGAAAGAACAGATGCCTCTTACTGAATGGCAAACATTCTGCCCTTCATGTAGCTCTTATCATTTAATGTCAATCAGCAAAATGGCATAATATCATCCTCTTTGTCAAGAGTCACTTGCTATCCTGCACTGGTCTACTTGATGCCTACGCACCACACTTTGTGTACTCGTTAGCACAGAGTGTAATCAATGACTGTTCCAAAACAGTTGTCTTCAGAAGTCGCCTTGCAAGATGGAGGTTACCTCAAAAAAATAACTACAAACAAGTAGTTTTAGGGAGCTAACTCATGATATCTCTTACAGTTGACATCTTTTCAGTTAAACTTGTCCTCTGGGTGATTCCAACATGTGCCCAGTAAGTTGGGTTTAAAAGTTTAATTCTTTTTTTCTTCAAGTCTCACACTTTTTATGGGAATGCTTCCCTGCCACTCACTTGGGACCAACCTGTTTCCACAGCTATTTGAGTCATCATCCAGCAGCTAATAACCAGTCAAGAAGCACATCTTTGCCAGGACCTAGAGAGATGACCACTATGCTGAATCCATAACTGAAAACAGACCACTGAAACTCAAGCTGCACTAACAGTCTCATTACAGAGACTCCCTGTTCACAGCACTAACAAAGTCACTTTGAATTTCATCCCTAAATTTAGACAGCACTAAGTCATCACAGGGCCATCCAAGAAATGATGTGGCATATACAGAGCAACCCTGTATTTGCCTACAATGGATGATTCAACTAGGTAACCAGCAAAATATATGTTTAGGGATTTTGTTTGGAATCACCCCCAGAACACTGGTGGACTACTCTCAGAGGGAAGAAAAAGAACAGCAAATTATTACAGGAAATAAATTTCTCCTTTCCTCTTCCCTTTCTTCACAAAACTCTTTTAGCTCTTGGGAGCTCTTTAGCTCTCTGAAACAAGACAAAATCAAGGCATACATTATACTCACTCTCTTATTTGCACAGCAGACCTAAAGGTAAGGCTGGGTATACAAGTGCCTTGCAGATCTTAATTAGAGAAGACTCTCAGATCTTCAATGCGAGCAGTTTAAGCACACCCTCAGCATAAAGGTATCTCAAGAAAACACATCTCAAAAATGACCAGCTAGTGATAAATAGCTTTCTTGGATATTGGAGTTCATTAGAATGAGATACAAGTAAACAGACCCAGATATTACCATTAGAAATGCATTTAATTCCTGTCATCACAGCAATTTTCAAGTTGCACCTACCAAAAGAAAAACTTTGCTGTCAGGCTTGACTTTGTGTTTCTCCATGTATTTTATGAGGCTACTATTGGCATATCTGAAAAATACAGTTAAAGAAAGACATGTCTGAAATAATACTGCATTGAAAATATGGAAGTGATCACAAAAACATTTACCAGCCCTCAATAAGCAAACTGTAAAAAGAACTGCTATCAGAAACATGTTAGAGATTTATCCAGCAGTTGCACACACAAAGTGTGCTTCTCACCAACAGGAGTGGTATCAACTGTGCAAAGATTATTTCCATGAAACATGCAACTTTTATAGTAGAGATAAGCTATTGACATGCACATATGACAGAGAAGCTCAGCCTGAAGTTTATACTCTAGTTTTCTAAAGTAACTCTGCCAAAGAAAGTATTCAGCAGTTCTTAACAGCTCAACATTTAAGCTATCAAGCTATTCCCAGTTACAGTTTGGCAGAGCAGTTAGGTTACCATTCTGTCACCCCAACTTCAACCTGCAGCAAACCATAGAGTCTTTATAGCTCACAAGCTCAAAAATGCCCCCATTATTTATGACTTGTGCCTTGCCTTTAATTTACAACTCCAGAGGTGACCCATAGGCATTTTCAAAAGAAGCTTTGTGCACAGATAAGCTTCGTATCTTGTCTAAAGCCAGTGTAATGAATCCATGGCAGAGATGGAAACAGAATCCATGTACTCTGCCTTAGAACAGTCTGTGTGGCTCTTTACAAGCTCTGATCTATCACCACCACTTGACTAGTTTAACAAAAACACCAGAAAACAGCAAGAGTGGAACACTTTCGGGTCCCAGACAAGTTTTGCATCACAACCTAATGAACACATTACCTTCCATAGAAATTTCTGTGCAATACTTCGCTGTCTCTGCATATCTCCTTGTCAGAAGTACCAGTGCTTCCCTACTCTTTCTCACGTAAAATGAAGGAAGTTATCTTGAACATGTAATATAAGTGGGGTTAAGCAAGTTCATTTGTCTGTGCCTGCTGCAGATTAAATGACACTTATGACAATCCCTTCCAGAGAAATGAGGAGGTCACTCAGCTTACGTTTCTAACAAGCAGATGAGGGAGAGAACACCATTCAAGCAAACCAGCTAACTCAAGCAGGAGAGCAGTCACAGTGTTAGAACCCAAATGCTCCAAAAAGCCCCTCCCCAAACAGTCAGAGCATAGGAGCCAATTTCTGCCTCTGCTATATTCACTGAACTGTTGTTCTGTTATCATCACTTACGTTGTTCTCCTAAAATCTTTCTGAAGAGTTGGATATTCTGGCATCTTCCTTATGTCTTCCCAGTCTTTATCTTTGGTGAGGGGAGAAAAGAAAAAGCATTTACAATTCTGGATGTGTAGGTTAAGTAATATATGAGAAGCAATAACAACAGCAGTTGTTTGACTTCCTGTTTGTTGGCCAGTGCTATTGTTCCATAATTGTCAGCACTTCCAAATCCATCAAACTGACAGTTTCTTCGTACCTATACAAACAACTAGTCATTTCCTTTAGAAAAAAGAACAACTCAGTAGCATTATGTCTGATGCTTTAATGAAAATAAATTACCTGCAGGGAATCCCATTACGCTGAAAATGCGGTCTAGCTGATCGTGATGAAAAGGATTACTTGTTTTGATGTCCTCCTGACGACAGTGAAATATAGGTTCTGAAGTCAACAGTTCAGCAAATATGCAGCCAATTGCCCAAATATCTACAAAAGAAGGAGGAGAATTCATGCAAATTTACTGCACTTCATCGCTCTGTTTTTTTTGTACAATTTCTTGACATGTATAGCCAGAGCAAGATAAAATTCTTCACGATATAATTATATAGGGTGTTCAGGTACTGGAATAGATTGCCCAGGGAGGTGGTGGAGTCACCATCCCTGGAAGTGTTTAAGAGGTGTCTGGATCTGACACTGGAGGATATGCTTTAGGGGTACAGTAGAGTGGCAGGTGAATGGTGTGACTTGATGATCTTGGAGGCCTCTTCCAACCCAGCTGATTCTATGATTCCATGATTCTACATACTGAGGCTTTACTGAAATTAAAAAAATTCCACCTCTATTTCATAAATTCCTCATTTTTGGATTAAATCTATTGTGGACAAGAACATTAATTTACAAGAGAAGAATTTTCTCTATTACATGTATTTGTTCTATTTACTGCTGATCACCACCCATCTCAGTGTTCTGTATGACCCAAATGCTTTATTATGCATCTTAAAACGAAAGTGTGAATTTGTCAGTGAGAAGGTGGTTATCAGCCCAAGGAGGGAAAAAAAAAAAAAAAAAAAGGATTTGCTACACTGGCAAATATGTGTCTGGGATATAACTTCAGAAAAAGATGTTGAGATCAGATGAATAACAAGCACAGTCTGCTGAATACAAAGAGTGGGGAGACTTACATAGTACTTGAGGTTAAACTACATGACGCTGGGAAAACTCTTACATTTTTTCAAACTTAATAGCATAAATAAAAAAAACAATTTAACTTTTATGTATAAGAGATAAAAAATTATTTAACTGGAGTTTGGTTTATTAGATTCAGACTAAAGAAAACACCAAGAGAAGTTCTTTGTTTGCTGCTACTAATCTGAGACTCAAAACCTCACTTGCCTGTCAGTGGTGTGTTTGGCCCATGCTGCCTGTGACACACAAGGTGTCCTGAAAAAAACCCACAGCTCTCTATGCAGGGAATGAAGAAATGAGCCATCGCACTCTCTTTGCCAAAATAGGTCAATTCCATTTCCATCACATTACAGGTGTGGAGCTTGGGGTGTCCTAATATGTAAGTAACTCTTTCTTCCTACCTCCTTTACAGCAAAGTCTGACAACATTTCATTCAGACTTTACAGTTTTGACAAGGTATAACTTGCTCTGTGCATTACATCACATTCTCAAGGTTTTATCTGCCTTTGATTTTTCTATTAGCCTTATCTGCATGAAAACAAGATCTTAAGCTGTTGAGATTTTATCTGCTCAAGCAGCTAATGCAGCATATTAATCACAATCGCTGCCTGGGTAGTAGGCATAAATTATCTACTCCAGAATGGAAATTGCTTATTATTTGAAGAATAGAATCTTCACTTAACAGTATCTATTCACTCATTTTCATTTTATCTAGAGGCCAAAGGAATTGCAGCTCTCTTGGTTTTCATGGCTTTCTGCTGTGCTCACCATCCATCATACTGTGAGGGAGAGGCTGGTCCACTGCTCATTATTTCACTCATTCCTGTTCTATCCAGACTGACCTTCTCCTTTTAAAGAAAAAAAACCCCAAAAATCTAGTATTCTCACTGACAGCAAAGCTGAACTGGGAAAATCTCCCTGATGTGACACAGCACACTTTAAAACTCTTTTTCCTTCATCATCTGAACAGTGTGACAGCAGAGCCACTGTAGGAACACATTCCCATTTCCTGACCCCACGATTCATACGGAGAGCACATTGTGAACCCTCTGAGGATTCAGAAAGACAGACATTGTACCAACTGGATGCTACATCTGAATAAACACTGGTAACTCCCAAGCTGGTGTTAAAGTTTTCCATGGGATAGCATTATTGGACAAGTCAAGCATGAGAACACTTTAACTCTGACCAGTCATTGTATTCTCCAGTAGTTCATAGTTCAAAGTTCAACCCTTTCCGTTTCTTGCCAGATACTCTTCAGCTTCAAAGAACTAATATATAGTTACCCAAAAGATTAGTACAGAAAACCTGGAGCTTAATTTCTGTAATCAAAGACTAAACAGATGGAAAAGGCCTTGCAGACATGCAGCACAAGCAGGTCAGGGTCTTCCCTTCATAAATCTTTTCTGTAACCTGATCTTGAACACATCCTTGGCACATATTGAAACCATTCTCACAGTTAATGATTTTCTGCCAAGTTTAGCTAGTCCCTTTTTCTTTTTACTAACATTGATAATTTACAGTAATTGTTTACCACATGTGGCATTTTTCTAGCAGGATTGCCTCATTAAATTCTGGCAGGTTTAAAAGCTTCATCAATACAAACAGCCTTAATAGGTATTTACCTCCTGCATTCTTCATATTAGTCAACTAAACACAAACTTCAGCTCTAACTATGGAAAAGGTTCCCTATACAGTGCCATTTCATGTTTTCAATTTGTGATCCCTAAAAGAAATGTCATGATTATTACATCTATTCCAAATCTATTCCAAGTAAGACATACTACCCCTCAGAAGTGGGCACTGACAGGGGCAAAGCTTAAAACACACAAGCAGTATTTTTCAGGTACAGTACATTATTAGTCTAGTGCACATCATCTGTCTCTGGCACAAGAGGAACTTCTTACAATGCTGTATAACAATTTCATTATAAATAAACTTAAAAGCAAGCACCAAAATAAGTGGCAAAAATGATCCAATAACTGGCTTTCTGCTCCCCCCTCTACTAATGATCAAGGGGGTGAGTTTTCTCATTGCTCTCGAGCCAAAGCTAAAACTACAGACACTATCCACTTGTTATGTCCCAGACCCACTGAAAACTGGGACACATAGGTCCTACAGAGTTGCACTGGGTACTAAATGTTTTCCCATCTGATGTCCTGGGAGGATTCTAGTAAATTTACCAGAGTAACACAACCGTTCCTGTAAGGATGGTTCTGTTTCCTACAGTGTCTTCTACTGCCCTTAGGCTTCAGGACTGACCTATGGTGAAAGGTTTGTACTGTTTGTTGAGCTGTGTTGTTTTGCTGGGCTTTTTTCTCCTGCCAAGAGTTGGAGACTCCCAAGTTTACACTGAAGCCAAGTGCAAGACAATTTTGCTCCCTGGCTCTGGAAAGAAGGGTGGAAGCAACTCCTAACCAACAGCTTGCTCAGGTTACATTCAAATCTATTCCTTCCACTGTAACAAGACTTCTCCACTACAACAAAATTTTATAAAAAGAAAAAAATAGCCTTTTACAGATGGTCACTTGAGTGGTAAACACACTTCCCATATATATGGCTGCATGCACAAATCATTAGAATCGTTGTCTGGCTGTCCGTGTCCCAGTTTTAATACCTGTGACTGAAATAGCTTTATAGGTCAGCTGAGAAAATCCTGCATGTCCTGCTTTACTTTAGCACTGTAGCCAAGGAGCAAGTACCAAGGGATGCTGACATAGCTGTTTTAATGATAGGGCTGATTAAGCAGACAACTGCTTACGTATTCTTTCATTTCTATGGCACAACAGTCACATTTCTGTATTTGTTCTGATATTTTTGAAACATTCTTTAAGAATACTCTGACCATTTAAAACAATAAGACAATGTACTGAGCAATAGCCTTGACTCAAGATGAAACATCTTTAAGGTCCAAATTTTTATATTCTTCATTTAAACTTAAGTCAGCAAAACAGAAGGTCGAGGAAGAATTGGTTACTAGCCTTTTAAATTTGATACCTTCTATGGAGAACTGAAAACAGGGTCAAACATTTACATGTGACAGCCTTTTCAAGGGGAAGCAAAATATGGTGTCAGTGGGCTAAGGGTCAGAAATTTGCTATCACTCACTGATAAGTTAGGTAATGTTTACGGATCTTTCACAAACAGCATCTCAACAGAACTTGACTGAAGAATTTACACTGTAAAGCCACAAAGATGACTGTTCTGTAGACAGAAACAAAACTTCTCAGTCATCTGAAGGATTCTTACAGCCAGACAAACATGTATCTAAGAGAAATATTTTATTTCAAAAGTGCATTATCTCCTGTGCCATGATCTAGGGTCAAGATAATTCAAAACTTTTAATTGCAAAACCACATTAATTCAAATTAATAATGAAATTCATTATCCTTACTTTTTTTTACCTGTATGCCTTCACCCTAGCCTTTTCAACTAAGCTGCCCTTTTCTCATGCTTGTGCTGAGAATTTAATTAATTTCAATTAATACAACCTTAAAAATTTTAACTGACTGAAATTCTGAGCTCACTGAAATCAGCTGTCATTCTCTGCAATGGGCCAGGCTTTCATCATTTCTCTCTTAACAGAGGTATTTTAGGTTGTCAAAATATTTTATTTTCTCACTTAAATTCCTACTCCTCAGTATATCATCATTAAATGAAGATTCTGGATCATATGATTTCACACTTCTGCTGTGCATTAGACACATCATTTAGCTTGCAACATTACACTTAAATTACAATGCTAAGCTTGACAACACAGGTGCAATAGATTTAATACAGGGAGAGGCAATAAAACCAAAGGCCCTAAGTAGTGCTCTCATGCAGCAAAAATATGACTTGAAACAGTGAAATCCTATTAAAGACCTTAAATTCATAGTTTACAGAACTTCACATCCAAGAATTTAGAAATTCCAGGTTTATGATTCTGTATGCAACCTTGCAGTTACACGTGCAGCCTATGTACCGAAGAAGACAGGAATCATCTAGGTAGGGAGGCTGCAACCTTATCAACAATTGTACCACAGAGCACAAGAATTCAACTTGTACCAACATCAGTAGCTTAGAATTAATTTTTTACCAACATTACACTGCTTCTGTAAGGATTTTCAGAGACTATCTTCCCAAATACTCCTCTCCCTGCCACCCTTATATACCACATTTTCATCATCAATTCTTTACCTCCTCATCACTTGTGTCTTCAACTCTTTTACTATATAAACTACAGATTAAGTACCACATTAGCTAGCAGCAGAGCAGCTAATGTCCTTGAGAGCACAGAGTGATGGTTCCATCTTCTTCTT